TCCCTGTAACCCAGATAGGAGCCTCGCCTGGACCCTGAGGTCATCGTCATCAACTGCCTGGCTTCTGCCTACAGTAGTCTGATTGGCTGCAGCCGCCCACCAAAAGTGGGAGGCGACACGTGGGCTCGCTAGGGACTGCTGCGATCAAATGCCCCCCCTGGACTAGGCCGACACTGTTCTTGCTCCTGCTGCTCAGCGCCGGCGAAATAAGGCCCGCGCGGCCTGCAAGGACAGGCGCCCTCTGGCAGCAGCGGCGTGCGCATACAGGCGGCGCGCGGCGGCGCCTGGCGCAGGGGCGAGCATTCGCTTTGCGCGCGAGCAGCACACGTGCAGAGCCCCCGGCCCCTCCCTGCGCCTGCGCACGGCCGAGTTGCCCGCGGCGCCCCACCTAAGTTTGCAGGGGCTAGTTGTAATGAAACCTGAACCCTGCCCCTGCTTTGGTTGCTGCTGGCGGTTCCGTTGTGGATCAGGGTGGAGGAGGCCAATTGCCCTCCTTGGAAGGCGGCAAGTTTCGGCAGTCTCTCAACCAAGGGTGTGTGGTGAGAGCAGAAGCTCTCGGCCGGCCCCAGTTGTTTGGATGCCTGTACGCGCAGCGGCGGCGAGGCGCGAAAAGTTCGCGACAGCCGCCGGACGGCAACCGCCGGCTGCGGGCAAAGAGAACAGCGGTTGCGGCCTGCGTGGCGGACACCCAACCTTTACTGCCGTTTATCTGATATAAATTCGCTGCATCACTCATCCCCTCGTCATGTCCTTCAAGTTGCGCCTGCAACACATGTGCGCTCTCGCAGTCCGGCACAGTCCAGTCCTGCAGACCAGCGGTAGGGTCTTGAAGTTTTGGCGGGGCCACCGAGTTCAAACGTGGCAGCACTGTCCCCACGACTGCCATGAAAGGTGCTTGAATGAGCAGGAGTCAGCATTGGGGTTCTGATACAGCAGTGCTTGGGTGGGGGGCAGAGTGGCGCGCGGCGGCATGCACACGAGGATATAGCCCGGCCGGCCTGTTGGTCAACCCTCTGATTGTCGCCCGCACAACGGGCGGTGCGCGTGCGCTTGCGGTGGTGGCGCAAAGCGCGATCGGGATGAGGCAATGTGTTCTGACAGGGCGCACGCACTCGTGCGCTCTTTGGCAAAGGGCAGGGTCGGCCTCCTGTGCAACTGATTTGAACGGATGACAGGAGATGATGTCACATTGTGGCCCTGATTTCAAGGCCACGTCCGATTGGGATTTGGATCAACAACGCTTCATAATTCAATTTTTCATGTCGCGCCGAAATTTTCAGTTACTGAGCCCCGAGCTGAGCGGGCAGCCAGCGTGACTGCGTGCGTGGTACCGTAACCCAGATGTCAGACAGCCAAAATCTCGATTATGATCGTTTACGGCGATGTCTCACTAATGTATGTAATGTTAAAAATACGGAGCTTTTTCATAACAACTTGTAAAAAGCTCTTGCTTTTTCCAAGCTTGCCATCAAGATTCAAATCATCAAAACCGACAGCGTTCTGCTCCACCGGTATTCAACCAGACCCTCATCCTCGTTTCTAAGTGCTCTTCCAGACCCCAGCACACCATGATGCACCGCAGCGCCCACACCATCTCGGCGTGTGCAGCCCTGCTCCTGCTCCTCGCCGTTGCGGCCAGTGCCCACCGCACAAAGAGTGAGTCACTGCAAGCCTGTCCCACAGGGCGCCTTGCGCTCCAGCGTGCACGCACCTCATCCATCCACCTGAGAGCGCGGTGCGGTGGCGTATGGTTGAAGCGGTCGTTGGCTGCCCCGCGCGTCTGTCTGATCTGCCCTCAACTAGTGTGTGGGTGCATGCCTGCCACGACACTGTTTCCCGGCCCATCTTACCGACCCGCACCGCCCAGTCCACCAGCCGGCAGTGGCAATGCGCGGCCCCAAATACGCATCGCCCCGTCCATGCGGAACCCTGCCCCGCCGCACCTGGAATCCCCATTCACCCAGCCAATCTCACACCCCACATACGCACACTCATGTGCGCGCTCCCCTGTTTGACCCACGCACAGGCAATCGCCGCCTGCTTGCTGATGACGACAGCAACCATGAGCCCAACGATCGCTTTGCCGCCAGCCGCCTCGCCGCCTCGCTCCGCAACACTGGCGCCCACGACCACACCTCCAGCGCCCGCGAGCACACCGCAGGCCCCGCCGCCTCGGGGCCCCTCTTGCCTCCGCTCCCAAAGCCGGTGGTCCACCACGCCCCTCCGGTCGGCGCCGCGGCGCCTGCGGCCCGGCACACCGGCCGTCGTCTGCTGGATGACGATGACGAAGACCATCACGGGCCCAACGGCATTGCCGCCGTCCGCCTGAGGTCCGCGCGCCGCAACTTTGGGGTGGAGGGCATCGTACGCACTGCAGGCGTCGCCTCCGGCCGCCTCAGGCCGTCACTCCTCAACTCTGCATCGTTGCGCCGCGAGTCAGCAGCACCCTGCGGCAATTGAGGCCGTCCAATTGCGTGAGATTAACCCGGCCCCATCATACGATATCTTTGTGTCGCAACATACCTGCATCAAAGTCTGAACCTTGACCATCAAATCCAAATCCTCCCCACCAAAATAAACCAACAGGCTGAAGCCCAGGAGGTTCACGTAGATTACAACATCATGAATACAACGCCAGACAAGTGTGTGTTGCAGCTCAACAACCAGCCCCAGGTTTAGGCTGATTGACGTCTGCCCCGCCCGCCCTGTGCAGCTGCTCGCCGTCTCAAGGCCCGCCGAGCCAGGACGCGCTCTATTGTTCCCTGCCTACCTAGCTGGGCCCGGCTGCGCTGCGCCGCCGCGCCGCCTTGCCTGGCTGCCGCGGCAGCAGCTGCCGCGTGCGTGTGCCGCCTTACAAGCCGACGCCTGCGGCGGGCGGCGGGCTGCGGCGGGTGTTGGAAGGGGCGCTGCTGTCGGCAGCCGCTTGTCTAGGGTGGACCAGGGCCGGTGTTCCCCATGGGCTTCCGCTGGTGCGACCCTGTCTGGTTGCGTGCTGGTGGTGTTGCAATCGATCCAACTAATCGGAGTCGGCTCAGTACATGCCTTTTAGTTGGTGAAGACAAGCGAGCCATTTGACCATCTGCATTGTTTTGAATGGCCCGCCTGGCTGCGCTTGATTTCAATATTTTGTGCTTTCAAGTGCCTAGTACCAGCCTGGCTGAGGGTGCGGCTTTGCTGGGTCCGCTCATTTACTGTTGTGCTGCCGTTAGCTGCCATCGCCTGCGCCCTGCTGACGGCGCGCGGCGTGCAACTTGCTTAAGTGTGTTGGCAATCATGACCACTGTGGGGCTCATATCTGCGTGTGTTGCCATCAATGACCGCGGATTGGCCCCTGCAACAGGGGGGGCGCCCATGGGCCAACAGCAATGGGAATTTCATGCTGTTTGCCTGTGCTCTCCCCCCAAAGACGCATACAACCAGCTGTACAGAGCGAGCCATAGGCACCTGCCTGCCTGCCATGCTCTCTGTGGCGCCGTGTATCATATGATGCTGACGCGATGCTTTGTTGCTTGTTTTGGAATGGCTTGCTTGCGCCAGTGCGCGACCTGACTCCAGGTGTGCCTGATTATGTAGGGTACGTACTCTGCTTGCGCTACAGCAGCTCGCTCGTGAGGTTGCCTGATGTGGGCGTGTTTGGTCATTTGCTGCACTTGGAGATCCAAAACAGCAGCTGCTGGGTTGAGGTGCTGATCAGAGGAGCAGCTGGTTGCCTTGAACCTGTAATGCAGTTGGGCTTTGTTAAACAAAAACAGCTGCACCATGACATTGCTGGAATGCTGCTGCCTGTGCCAGAGGCAGCTCACCTCCACCCCAACAGCGCTGCCCACCACACCGCCATTGTGCGTAAAACCGAGAGCGCACTGCTGTGGGGCGGGTCCACAGGCCCTCCTGCGTGATTCATCTGATGTCCCTCGCAAAGGTGCATCATTATCGACAGCGGGCATGCAGCGTGTGTGCTTAGTGGCTTCTCAGGCCCTGCGGACTTTTCACAAGGTGCAGACCAGCAGTGTGCAGCAGGCATTCCAAAAACAAATTGATCGCGCCACTTCAATGCAGCCTTTTGTGCAGTCGCATTTGTTTGATGACGACTTTGAAGGCTTTTTGCCACCTCATGTGGGTCCTTCAGCTCAGGTGTGGATGGCTGGTGCATATCGCTGCTGCCCATGATTTAGCATGGCAACGGCGGTTGAATTAGCTGCGCTGTCATCAGCCGCTGGTGTGGCGATGCAATGCAAGGGGTTGCTTGCAGGGTAGGCAGGCAAGGTCATGGGCAAGGGTTTGGTGTCATCAGTCTGGAAGGCCGAAGCAGCACTTTGAGAGCAGCGGTAATGCAACAATTGCTTGAGCATGTGCCGGTTGAATTTAGCGATATAATCTTCAAAGACAATGTGAAACAGGGTGTGGCGACACCAACAGGAATGCATGAGAGCACTCGCCCACAAGCGAGCAAGCAACAGCAGCACACACGGGCGTCCCTGGCGCACCTGGCGCCCTCACTGCACAAACACTGCCTTGGGGAGCAGCACGCGCACTGCCATCGGCTGAGGCAGGGAAAGCATGATGTGTGCCGCCCGGTGTTGTTGGGTCGTATCATCGTACTTGCTCATCCTGCGGTCTTATCACCTTAGGGTTGGCTCGCAGTTTGTTGACTGCCGCCACCACCAATACACCGGTAAACGTAAACTTTTTGCGTGTCTCAGTAACTCTAAGAAAGTCCGGCGAGAATTGTTCTCCGACGGAGTAACAACCTCGGAAAATGCGTGATGTTGCGTGCCAAAGCTGCGTGACTTCCGAGAGCCTGCGAACTCCAAATTGCATTCAAAAGCCACACGCGGCACATTTATCTCCCCACAAACAGACCAAACAACAGGCTGCATCAACCTCACGCAATACAGCAAACCTCCTCCCAACCCAAGAATTCACACCAAACCACCAAAGAGAGCACCATGGCGCGCCGCAGCACCCACTTCCTGCTTTTGTGTGCCGCCTTAACCGTGCTAATGGCCATAGTGGCTGATGCCCACCGCATTCGGGGTGAGCGGCCGACCCTTGGAGCCAGGCGTGTCGCAATCGCGGCCTCGCTCCCCTTCCCCACCCCTTCCCCCCCATGCGACTGCCACATCATCCTGCTGGGGCCCTAAACGCGCCTCAACCAGCAATATACACCCACGCACGTACAGATTATCTCAGAAGCCTCGTACCCCCATTCCTTTTTCTCGCAGGTGGCGGCGGCGGCACCACCGTGACCCAGACCCAGACAAACACCCAGGACGCAAGCATCGGCGCCAACAGCCCAAACACCCGCGTCTCCATGAGCAGCGACCAGGCCACCACCGTCGCCCGCGCGCTCTTGGGGCGCGGCGACGGCGACCAGCCGCAAGAGGCTGCCACCGTCGGCCGCGCGCTCTTGGGCCGCCGCAACAGCGAGCGGCCGCAGGAGGCCGCCACCGCTGGCCGCGCGCTCTTGGGCCGCCGCGACAGCGACCGGCCGCAGGAGGCCGACACCGTCGGCCGCGCGCTTTTGGTCAGCTGGAACAGCGGCCCCGCTCGGGCTCGCGTCACCAAGAAACAGGAGGACGCCGACTCCGCCCGCCACCTGCTCAGGATCCGCAGCCCCAGCGACGCTCGCGTCACCTATTCTCAGCCGGAGGAGGCCGACACCGCGCGCCGCCTGCTCTTGGGCCGCCGCGACGGCGTCGCTCGGCCTCGCGTCACCAACCAACAGGAAGAGGCCGACACCGCCGGCCGTGTGCTTTTGGTCGGCTGGAACAGTGGCCCCGCTCGGCCTCGCGTCACCAAGAAACAGGAGGAGGCCGACTCCGCCCGCCACCTGCTCAGGATCCGCAGCCCCAGCGACGCTCGCATCTCCTATTCCCAGCCGGAGGAGGCCGACACCGCGCGCCGCCTGCTCTTGGGCCGCCGCGACGGCGTCGCTCGGCCTCGCGTCACCAACCAACAGGAGGAGGCCAACACCGCCGGCCGTGTGCTTTTGGTCGGCTGGAACAGCGGCCCCGCTCGGCCTCGCGTCACCAACCAACAGGACGAGGCTGACACCGCCGGGCGCGTGCTGTTGGGCCGCCGCGACGACGCCGCTCGGCTTCGCGTCACCTATCAGCCGGAGGAGGCCGACACCGCCCGCCGCCTGCTGTTGGGCCGTTGGGACCGCCCCGCTCGGCCTCGCGTCACCAACCAACAGGAGGAGGCCGACACCGCCCACCGCCTGCTCTTGGGCCGCCGCGACGGCCTCGCTCGGCCCCGCGTCGCCTATGCGGGCGGCGGCAGCACGACCGTCACTCAGTCTCAGACCAGCGACCAGGCTGCGACCACCGGCGCCAACAGCCCGGGCTCCTCCATCAGCCAGACCAGCAGCCAGGAGGCGACCGCCACCATCGGGCGCCGCCTGCTTGCTTCCAACTAGGAGAGCTTCGGCACAGCAATGCCCGACGGAGCGCAGGCTGCTGCCGCGCCGCGGCGGGCTGCGCAAGCCTTGGCGCCAAATAAACAGCTTGGGGCCGCATGTTTGGGGTTGCCTGCGTCTGCGGGGGGTTGACACTGTGGGGCGCCCTATTTGGGCATAATTGGGGACATGGGCACCTCGCTCTGTCTGTGGCACCATAGGGTTGTTGAAACGCCCGAATTGCCAGTGTCGGGCCACCCTGATCCTGCAGACTCCTGAACCTCTGTTGCTGGTTAGCCACCTTTTGCTGCATTTTGGATGCAATCCGTGATGGGCCTGGAGTTGCACGGGCAATCGAGCCTTGGTCCCCTCAAAAATTGCTTGTGTTGCCGCAGCAGAGACTGACGTTGCAGCTTTTGTGCTGGCCAGACGTGCTTGGGAGCTGACGCAGGAGGCCACCTGCAAATGTCATTGCCTCGCCACCGCCGGTACAGCGTTGTCATGCCCCCGTGCTACAGGACCTCCTTGCTTACATTGAAAATTGCGAAAACGTTGTCTGCTGAAAACAAACGCTTCTGTCCCTTGAAAATACACCAGCGTAGTCTTTTCACATGTTTCCAGGTGTGTTGCTTTTCAGCAGTGCCTTGCTCGCGTTGCATTCAAACAATGCATGATGTCAGCAGCGTTTCTAGCTATGCCCGCGATGAATTGTGTCGCCTCGTTGAGGTGTTGGGATGCTACAACCTGCATGGTTTTTGCAAACGGTGCTGTGTTGCACCGCTTGAGCTGCTCGCGCGACAGTCAGTTGCAGGTTGGGTTGTCTTCCAGAGCAGCAACCACCCGCGCGAGTAACACAGTTTGCAAGGGTAGAGCAAGCAAGGAGCGACATGTCAGCGGTCGGTTAGGAGTCAAGTTGTCATTGCCACAAACCTCTGTAGGCCAGTGCAGCAGCTGCTCCATCAGTATTTGCACGCACACATCCTGCCTGCAGCGTTGAGCCGTCAAGTGGCTTTCACCGCGCATCAGGATAAAGGGGGTGCGCCGTGGGTGTGGTGTCAATCAGCAAACTGCCTATCACGGCGCAGCAGTCCTGGACTCTGTCGGCTGTGCAGGTTAGCATCCTTAGGATAGTAAAAGTCTTTGCTTTGTATTGTATACTTTAGCAACACCATCAGAATTCTGTGCAGCATTTCTAAATTCTCAGAGATTGTCAGCCTGGGAGCGAGGAGAGCTGGGCAGGGCGCAACTGGTGAAAGCGTCAACAACAATGGGGTAGAAAAGAGGTGCAGCAACACATGGTGCAGCCGAAGCCAGCGTTTCACCTTGGCTGGGGCTGTTGCAGAGATTGAGGTCGCGATGATGTCACCCTCTGCCATGCCGGTGCTGGTGACACCCATGGGTGGCTGGGTGAGCAACAGCAGTGGTCGTAAGAGCGCCGGCTCACAAGGCCTGCAGTGCAAGTGATGCAGAGGGTCGTGGCCAGTTGTGATTAATACATGATGCAAGTGCACCTCAAGAGGCTGGGGCTGGCTTGTGCTGGCTCCACATGCTGTTGGCTTTCCTGTGGATGGCTGCTGCCACCTCCGCGTGACAGCCTCATGAGTTTTCGAATATCCTCAACGGTGCAGTGTGCCATGTGCATGTTTGCTCTCAACTCCGACAAAACATGATGCAATTGAAGCATTTTTGAAATGCAATACTTTACGTCGCCCTACCTGCTTGGTAGCTGCACACGAAAGGAGCAGCGGTCAGTGTTTGGGGTCGCGCATCGCGTCACTGCAGCTAATTGATGATTGCCTGTGAAGCCCTGTGCTGCAGGCTACTCGAAGTCAATTATAAGCATTGACTTGCAAATTCTCTCTTGCAAAGTGCCACATTGCTACGAATTTTACATGAGTTATGGCTGCTTGGCTACTCGGATGCGTGCATAGAATGAAAGGTCAAGCGCAAGTTTTTGGAAGCAGGGCCTCCAAGAGCAAGATGTGAGTGCAGCAATTGGATCATGGAACGCGGTGCGCACGAGCAGGGGCGCTAGCCTTTTCACAGCCGCACCTTGATAAAATCATACCTTTACTGTCCTCTCCACTCCTGAGTGCCCTCAAGGGTGCAAACGGCAGCTTGACACTGAGTTCGCTCTGCAGCGGCAGGCGCAGCAGGTGTTGCAGTTGCTGACTGCCCGCCCCAGTTCACGGTGGTCGCGAGAGCTAGCGGGGGCGTTTCATATGTCATTTACATTGGTTTGATGCGAAAAAATTATTCTCCATTCCTCATGAATTGTGAGATCAGGTGGTGAAATCGCAATTCAACGAGCATACGCAGAAAAAAATGCTTGAAACCACTCATTGGAAATCATCGTATTATAACCGCGGGCAACGATCTTGCGTTCCTGCCCCTCCGTTGACCCTCCCCCAAAGTCATCACTGTCAGGGTTGCAGCCTGCATCCGCGCAGAAAAGTTGAAATCGCTGATCACAAAAATTAGTGCTCGCTTGATGTTCAAATGTTGGGTGCTGCTCAGCTAGGCGCTGCCCTTGGGTTGCTGGTGGTGATGTCACCATCTCTAGGCCCCGCCCTACTGTGCTCCTGAACTCCAGCAGCACGGACCGCAGTTTCCCATCGTTAGCTTCCTGGTAGTAAGCTGCTGTGCCTGGTGAGAGATATAAGAGCAGGTGCATGTACCGTGAATGCTTGCCCCGGCGTTGGCGACAACAGTGTGATATTGGCTGGCCCTAGAAAGCACGCAGGCAACCACACCATAGGCAGTGTCACATCGACTGAAATTTACGGGCAAGTGAATTTGGCGCACTGAGCAGCAGTGGGTTGATTGTGTCTGGCAGGGCGAGGCAGAGACTCAGAGCCAGGCCAAATACTGACCGTAAGCGACTGTAAGCAGTCGCTTACGGTCTGTAAGCAGTCGCTTACGGTCAATAGGAGTTCATCAACACTGGCCGTTCCTGTTGTGGAGTGTGTTTGAAACAATGCGTGCTCTGCTGCCAAATACCATCACGAGCTCTCTCATGCCTGCAAGCAATGATCCATCCTTCCGTGAGCCATCCGACCCTAACAAGGCATCAGCACTGCACAGCAGGCAGACTACTCGGCTATAATTTTGCCCTGGGACGTATGATTGGAAAGTTGCAAAGCAGTTGTGGACACCTGTTTTCCAGATGTGTCCTATTTGATCATGTAGCATATCATATGACAAGCATGTCACCTGTGCTGCACGGTTCACTGACTTCTTGGATTGGATATGAAACAAACAAAGTGAAACAATCTTCTCCAAGCTGCTTTCCGTTTGCAAGAAGTCATGTCAGAGGAGTGAGAAGTGGGTGCCTTAAAATAGAGGTGCAGCTGATGTTGCTGCTGCACCGAGAGCCGGACCACATAAGCTCACAAATTGACCATACATCGAGGTGGCGGACCTCGGCCCCAAATAATCAAGTTTGAATTATTTAAATCGATGGAGTCTAGCTGTCCGCTTTACCTACCCTAATAGCGTGGGGTTTGTGACCAAATGAAGGCGTGAGCGGGCAGCCTGGGGTTCAGAGCTGGGCCCAGCAGAATTTGCTGCCTGAAGCACCCAGAGAAAGCCTCTCATCCCTATCCATTCCAACGTGTCTGAATTCCAGTTTTTGTGTGTGGTCACGTTGAGTCCGAGCTGCTAAACCCGTGTATGACGTCGACATCGACCTGAGCCGGGCGACTCTCGACGTTCGAGCCTGGGAGGTGAGCAGGCCTGCTCAGGATCCAAAACAACATAAAAAGCGCGGATGAAGCCAATAGTACTTTACGTTGTTCCCATACACATGCCCACAAACTTGGCTGCTGTCAAGCCTGCACATTGTGACAGTGACGTCACGCCGCAGGCCCGACACCATGGCGCGCCGCAGCCGCCATCTCTCGCTCCTCTGCGCCGCCGTGGCCGTGCTGTTTGTCATCGGGGCTGATGCCCGCCACGCCACGGGTGAGCACTCCAGCCCCGGCCTGCCGGATAGCCTGAGTCCCGTGGGCCGGCTCAACTCACCAACGGCAGAACCATCGTTTACTCAATATCCGTCTCGCCTCTACACAGCCAACATCAGCAATCAAACCAACTGCATGCAAATACATTCACAAGCTATTCTCTTCCAGGCTTCACATGACACGGTTTGCTCCCGCATCCCCCCCCTTGTGATCCCCTCTCACGCAGACCGCACC